TTTACTTGTTTTTTATTTTCATTTTTTATTTGATATATTTATTTATTCTTTTCGATTTTCGATGTTTTATTAACGTAGTAAAAAAGATTGGATTTGTTTAGGTTGGTTATTTTATAGTTTGTTTAGGTGTGGGGAAATAAAACTATTTATTCGTCCAATTTTTGGATTTATTGCCCTAGTCTTGTCTGCTATTTTGGCGGGGGACATTTTTTAATTTGTTTCTTATTTTATTTATTTGGATTGATTATTTTTACTTGTTTTTGCTTATTTATGCTTATTTTTATTAGTTCTCACGGTTATTCTAGCGAGGGCGATTTTTTATTCATTAATTTATTTGGATTCATTTTTACTTATTTTTTCTTATTTATTTGCTTATTTTTTATTTGCTTTATTCAGTTTTCGTTTTTTGTGTAACGTAGTATATTTTTACCGTTATATTGTAGTTATTGCTATTTTCTGGTCCAATTTTTGGATTGGTTGTTGAGGTCTATTCTAACGGTTATTGTTTTTTTAATTAGTTTATTATTTAGTTTATTTATTTGGATGGATTATTTTTACTTTATTTTATGTATTTATTTTTTATTTTTATTTGTTTTATTTCGTCTATTCTAACTTGAGTGGTTTGTTATTTTTTTTATTATTTGCTTGGATTAATTTATTCTACTTATTTTTATATTATTTTGTTTATTTTCATTTATTCTTTTCAGTTTTCGATTTTTAAGTAACGTAGTAAAAATTTGTTTTCATGTCTGCATTTTGAGATGAGCTCAAATCGTTTATTTGATAATTTATTTTGGTCTGGGAAGGTAATAATAGCTATTTTTCCTCCAGACAAAGTTTGCAGGTTTCAAATTGATTGTTGTAGGCTGATGATATTTTTCATTGATATTTTTGTTGTGATTTGCGTTTTGTTTTTAATTTCCCAGATATACTTAGAAAGTATTGTGCTTTCTAAGTATATCTGGGAAATATAATTATCGAGAATCATTAACAGGTGATAAAAAAGGCGTTAAATAGGACAATATTTAATGATAATTGCTGTGAATTGGTAAGGATAAGACTCTGACCTCCAAAATAAGCACCAAAGAAAGAAATCAATGTTCTCTACGTGAAGAGATCGCAAAGTTATAATTCATATATAATTCTTAAAAGGCAATTAAAGAAAAAATACATATTTAAATATCCAACATCTACAACTTACCCATAAACGTTTGATCGAAATCCGTCTTGCGTTCTTCAGTCAAGAAAGTATTATTTCTCTCGTGACAACGCAATGCCACATAGAGTAAGAATTACACGGAAATAATTTGCAACTCAGTTGGTCAGTTCTATCCAACAGGCTATAGTCATCTGGCTTCCCTTCAGGTGATTAGTACCATTTTTTTTCGATCGAAGTAAAACGCTTTGATGGGGAAACATCCCATGATAAAAAAAGATTCATGTGTCCGAAAATTTCTGTTCGTGTTCTTCAGAAATAAATTACATGTCACGCTGATGTGTCTTAGAGGACGCTTAAAGTGATCAATAAATATTCCACACAGAAATGCTGGCATTCAATTTCGGTAACCATTTGCAAGACATTCGTTTGTCCCTGCTATTCGCCCGCCTAGAGTTGTAGTGTCCGGGCGGTGGCCATAACCTCACTAGTGGAAATTGGCAGACAATTTTAAATAACATAAACATTGTCTCTTGTTCAAATGAAACGATCTAGAACAAGAAAATATCCTCTTTTCCTACTTTTCATTTTCGCTTGAACTTAAGTTTTATTGCATTCTCCTGCTTATGGTTTTATGCTGAAAGCGGGCACAACGGAGTAGATATGCACGAGCAATTAATAAATATCTGTCTATATCTCTGAAATGAGGTATTATGATTACTTACCTTATTTACATTATTCGGATTGTTATACCCATCTTCATTGGCATATTCACAACGTTTCGGCCGTTGTACGCTATGGCCTTCTTCATGTGTTTGGAATTTCGAACCGAACCCATTATTTCGTCAACCGGAGTAGATTGTTCTTGTTCCACGTGCCAAGCCTCTTCCGGTTGTCTTAATTATTTCCCTTTAACACAACTCTCCAAGTTTTGGTTCACCACTGCTGTGGCCCGGTATTAAACTCACAACTTTTTGGGTCTAGTCTCTGAATCTAACAAACGTCTTTATTCACTGGGCAATGTGTCCTTAATAAATAAATAAAAAAAGTGTCGTTAAGCTGAAATCAGGAATGTTGACCCTAAAATTTGAAAATCTGACGGATGACAAGCAACTGATAACAGTGTTTAACATTTAGCACTCGGCATCATTTATAAATATTACTTCCCCATTTACTGTATATAGAATCCCCTCAAAATATAGTTTTTTTTATATATATATATATATATATATATATATATATATATATATATATATATATATATATATATATATATATATATTATTAATTAAAGAATATGAAACAAATATTTTTTTTCTTTCAGGATAGGATCAAATCAGCAGCTATCTTTTTCCATTTCATTTGTGATTTGCTTGTATGTCATGAAAAACACTTCCTGGATCTATATCCTCTTAGAAATTCCATATGCATTACAATATTATATCATTACTATATATATATATATATATATATAGCGTTTTATATATTAGTTCTATATATTCGAAATTGCTTGCTCTCAATTTCACTCAAGAGTGTTTTAGCTAATGTCATGGAATGATATGACTGCACAAACAAGAAATTCAAATTCAACTTGCATTAGCATGGCGAACATTTTGCTACTTATTGACAATGTACTGAATGTTTTCATATTGGTTGGTTGGTTGTTTTGTTTTATGGCATATCAAAACCTCAGTGGGTCATTTAATGCCAAGAAAATTTTTGAAATAGATTCATAGCGATAGTTTGGTAAAAATGTTATGTATGTATATATATATATTTTAACCATTTTTCAATTACTCATCTTTTTGGTTGGGTTTGGTTTGGTTCGTTTTACAGCATATCTACCTTCAATGGGTTAATGCCGACAAAATTTTTCTTGCTGCTAATATGTTTTTCTTCAAAAATCGATTTATGGGCAATTCTTCCATGAAGAAATCTATAGCTGGTAATATTTTTTTCAATGACTATATAGCTGTTTGTATTGATGGTATTCTTTTTTAATGTATTGATGAAAATAATTTTTCCTTCAAAAATTATTGCTGGTAATATTTTTTATTACAAAGTATTTCTGGCCCTAAAACCTATTTTTACATAGGTTTGGGAGTCAATTTTTTCCCATAGCTGGGACCCTAACAGGTGCTACCACCCCGGGTCAAGGTGGACTTGGGGACGCCAGCAATTACGAGGTGGTTCCACGTACTTCAAAACTTGATCAGAGGCCTTGCTGTTGGACGTAGTTTATCGTCTTACCCAGGACGCGGATGTAGTCTATCGTCATACCCAGGACGTGTTTTCATGTAACATTGGCTGAATATGTATAGACGAAAAGCAAATGTGATTACTGATTATCGTCATGAATTTTGCTGACTCTTTGCTCAATCGATATGTGAACTACACAAAACAGAACAGATAATAGAAGGAATAAGTAGAAAAGAAAACGATTACAATGTAACTGTGAAATTGATAAAATCAGAAAATCCGAGAATAAAAAAAATAAAATGAAGGACCATTTTATAAGATAATTGGAAGAATATCTGATAAAACAAAGTGGACACTGCTACAAAGATGAAATCCGAAGAATTAATTTCAAGTAATGTAGAAAAAGGTCAACACCAGCATTTATTTACAACCGGAGCACATATTTACTGTTGAAACCTGTAAATAAAAACGATTACACATAAGTCTTTAAGAAAATAAGCATCGATTTGATATTTATAAAAAAAAAAGTCTTAAAAATAAAACAATATTTTCCCATTCTGACAGAGTATCGCTTCAGGTTTGATACACTACAAAAAATATTCCCTGCTAGACATTTCTATATTTTGTTTACGAGTGGAGCAGTCAATTTAAATATTGCCAAAGGTGCCCGTTTAAACTGAAGCCAAGAAAATATGGGTTTATATAAAACGGGTTCGAAAACTAGGTTTGAGACATAGAAGTCGAGGGAGAGAGGAAGACTGTGGGGACACGTAGAGAGAGAAGAGATACACACAGAGAGACAAAGAGAGTGGGGCAGAGGAATGGTAAGAGATAGATAGAGACAGGTAGAAAGAAAGAGGAGATATATAGAGAGAGGGCGATATAGATAGAGAGAGTGAGAGTATGGGGAGAGGGAGGGAGGGAGCGAGAGACCGCGTTAGTGATAGATATATGGAGAGAGTGGGAGAGAGAGAGGGGGAGAGATTGGGAGAGAGAGATGGGAGAGAGATAGGGAGACTTACAGAGAGAGAGAGAGAGAGAGAGAGAGAGAGGTGAGAGAAGGAGAAATGGAGGAGAGAGATTGAGACAGAACTTAATAAAGCCTGTTCATATGTTTTATACTCTTTTGGGTAGATATAACCCTTTTTTAAATTAAACAAAGTTTATTTTTGTTCTGCGAAAATAAAATATTTACAGCTTACCATAAAAGGAAGAGCAAGGGAAGTTCTAACCCCTACGAAATCTGGGAATCTTTGAACATTATGTAACAGATGGCTAAATTCCACTGTACGGGAAAAGATACGTTTCTTTCATTCTTATATTGCTTTGCTTTATTTCAACTGTTTTCAGTCTTGGAATATGCAACTTGAAGAAAGCATGTGACTACTTATGTGTGTGTGTGTGTGTGTGTGCGCGCGCGCGCGTGCGTGCCTGCGTGCGTGCGTGTGTGCCTGTGGTGATGGAGAAAAGATATTGGTATTGTACAATATGGTCTGCGCAAACAGAAGCCTTCCAAAATCTGACCCGATGGGCGATGGAAGATTAAAACGTGAAGTTTGCAATTCACTCGAAGTTTGAATGTCGCATTCCCGAAGTAAAATACCGGAAAATGTAGTCATCAATGAAACCAATATTTCAGTCAATGATGTCTGTTTCCTGCGGGCTTGTTCATAGCAGGCCTATCTATCTATCTATCTATCTATCTATCTATCTATCTATCTATGTTTGTGTTGTTACGTTTCTCTCTCTCGCAACATATATATATATATATATATATGTGTGTGTGTGTGTGTGTGTGTGTGTGTGTGTGTGTGTGTGTGTGTGTGTCTTTAATTGCGTACGTCAAGAAATTCCGTAACCTTATGGGAAAAGGATTATTTATATCTATCAGCAAATAACTTTTAAAAGAACCCACTTCCTTGACAATGTACTTAATGCGGGAGTGAAAACTAATAATTTAAATCGAAAATTATGCTGACCAATCTATAAACTGCTGAGTAATCCGATTCGATTCATTTTCTATGGTTTATCAACCTTTTGCAAGTTATTTAAAATCAGAAAATATTTTTAGATTGCAAGAATTTTTTTTTAGATAGTTAATAGTTTAGTAATACAAGTTTTACAGATTAATCCATACCTAGGGAAAAGATATGTATTCCTACCTAATTACAATTTGATAAATATACAATAAAATATAAGGTATATATAAAATGGTGGTTAGATTCTATATCACAATCAATATATAAACTGATCCCTCACTTTGTGGACAACAGTTTCTCTATATTTATATTCCAGACAATATAAATAAATCTAAAAGACATATATGTGAAGCATTTGATTGATTGAATTGTTTTCTAAGGTTTATTCGCCCTTTGCATGTTATTTAAAGCTACAAAATATTTTTAAATTATAAGACTTTTTATTATATAATATTGATTTAGTGATCCCACTCTCACTAATTAACCCATATCTGAGAGGAAAAGAGGTGGCGTCATAATATTTTCTAAGGGTATTTGCGTGTAAGTGAATATACCGAATCACACGCACATTTAAGTTTACATCACCTGGTATTCACAAGCGGCCATCCATGTAGGTACTGACCAGACTCAACGTTGCTTATCTTCGGTGATATTACGGGAACTAGTGTTTCAACGAGATATAACCGTAAGTCTGCAGAGTAAAAATTAATTATTGCATAATATCTTGTTGTATCGTAGAGGTGAATGATACATAGAGAAAAATGAGTGCTTAATATAGTACCAGTGAGTACCAGTGCTAACGGATACATACAAAAAAAACACAGAACAATAAGTTACAATCAATTAACAAGACAACTTACAGGGAATAGAGGAGGGTGAATTGCTGTATAGGCAAACGAATTAAGATCAGTCCGAATATTAATCAACTTAGTAGCAACTTACTAATCAAATTATGAAATTATGAAGCCCTTAATCGTAGACTATTTAATGCTATGAGCCAGGCCATCTGGTAGATTGCTGAAGAGGTGCTAGTTACTATACAACATATCCATTATATTGAATCAGTATATAGACGTATTATTGATGAATCCTTGTATCTATAAATGCACAGTGATGTGCCAGAATTATTAGGTATGACTTCCTCTACTCCTTGATTGTGAGGCAACAAACGTGGCAACGAATTTTATAAGTGCAGGACTTAACTGTGGAGAAAGGCTGAGTTATCCTGTCACAACTCAACGGGTAATTTTTAGATTCCATATCTTGCATGGAAACAGAAATTTCCACGGCATCTCGTAAATGAGAATGTCTTATCTGAATATTTTTTGGAAGGCTCAAGAATATTCCTCAAACCAATTCTTGGAAACTATTGCCCGATGCTACGGTACATTATTCTATAGGAATAACTTACCATTGTTGAGGAACTTAAAGACTATGAATAGATGCATATTTTCACAAAGTAGCGTAATGTAGCTGATAATGACGTGTTTAGGTAGTTTCAACCTGTGGTTTACGAACACCATTACATGACATCCTGTATCTAATTAGTGATACTACGAGCTTAGGTGAGGTACTGCTTGAAACGTCATGGGATTAGCAGGAGCAATCTGGTGGATCATCTTTTCACATATCAAATTAGACGTGATTTTATCCAGTGTTACTTGTCAATTCAGCATAGTAAGTTTATATGCCATGCGTGATACACTCGATCATGTATCTTTCGATACATGACTTACGAGGTAGATTTTTCCCCTGCAGTAGGTTGTCATTTCTTTCTGCAGTAGGCCAGTTGCCATCAAAGGCTACAGAACCCAGCCTGTCCTGCTATCTACTCATAGCTGGGGGGAGATGAAGAGAATTCATATATTTCCGAAGGTTATTAGCACGTAAGTGAATATAATGAATTTGACTGTAATTCGAACTCGGCTCTCCGATTTCTCAATCAGAGCCGCTATCCATTACTGTTCAATTACCAAAGTAATGTAAGTCAATGCGTTGTCCACTGTGGATGGTATCGCCTTTTCTTAGGTATTCTTAATATGAATGTGACATTGTAGATCAAGAGATTTTAAATGTCCCCATAATTTAAGGAATGTTATGTGTCAACCGACTTTTGCCCACATTTATAACTGGGATACCATTAAATCATATTGCATTACCATGAGCAGACTAGACGGTGTTCACGCAGATTCCTCATAACACAATACTTATAGGTCTGGAAATTGGCATGATATCACCATTTACAATTTCAATTTATATCCTATTTACACGTTATTTTTTGCGCATCAGTGTATATATTATTAAGAAACACGAAAGTAAGAGGTAACATCCAATATTTCAATTTACCTGCATTTGCTTTTCGCTGATTTTTGTAAAGTCGAAGAACCGAGTTCCAATTTTATTTTGGTTGGTTACATTCACTTAGCGCAAAGACCATTGGGAAAGATAGGAATCCACCCCGCCAATCTATCAGTTAATTCTTAGGACTGGTAACAGTATATCATTAATATTTATAAAAAAAAGTCGTAAAATGTTAAAATATTTTGGGCTTTAAATAACATGTAAAACGATGATAAGCCATAAAAGCAAAATCTTTCAGAAAAATTATAATGGTCCAGCTTTTAGAAATCAGTCATACTATCTCAACTTATAGACACATGTCAGAGGGTACCTCCCAGATGAGGCTCTTCCGAAGGGCAGAGTCTCGTCTCGGGAAACTGACATTGTTTTTACCGGTCTATAGGGAATTTGTTGCCTGAGCCTACGGGCTCGGATACCAGACTTTAAACTCGGCCTTGTGCCACATCTTGCTGCGTGGGTCAGCGGGCAAATAATTATAGAGGTTTTCATAGCGCTTGTAGTAGAACAGTTTTGAGGTATCGAGTCTTGAAGAAGACTAAAACCGTAACAAATTCAGTTTTCATGAGTACTCAACTATTGTGGTCGAAAAAATGCATCAAAACATGATTGTTACATCCACTTATGTAAAACTATATTTCTTTATATAATGACGTGTGCGTGTTTGTGTTTGACTGACAAACACATTTCAAAATAATTTCATAAAAAAGATGAAAATATTTATGCATTTAATTCTAAACAGGTGTGCAATCTTCCTTTCTTAAAAGTAGCAAAATTTGTTTTCTTTTGTAAAAGTAAAAATGGATCGTTATGTCCCTGTGTGCCGATTTATCAGCAAAGTCAAAAGAAAATCTGTATGCTTGAAGTCTCGCCGCGGCAAAGGATCAGTTAAGATAAAACTTTTAAAAAGAAATGAGTTTTTTCTTTAAATATTCCTTAGCTTTACATTTGATTGAAACTGTATGTAAAGTGCGTAACGATTGAGACTTACCGCAAAGGAAATATTTCCAAAACTCGGAGAGTGATGTAATGAATATGCATACACGTGGTTCCCCCTCACAGTAATATGATTGGCTGGTATCAGCCATAAATACAGACTGATGTCGAGGTACAGGACGACGCCTATTGGCTACGCATATAGTTTTCGCCTATTGCCTACGCCTATTGCCTACCACTACGACGAGGACCAGTTACATTACTGCTACCTGCTAGATTGTTCTACTCGGTTACAGTAGTCAACAACCACTTTTTCTACTTCGAACAAATATATCCCTTTACGGGACATATCACATAGAATGCTTGGGTATGAACAAAGGAATTGTAGGAAGTGGTCGCCGACAAAAAATAGGGAGAAGAAAGCGCGACAGATGCCCATTTTGCCTTATTGAACTCACACTCTTTGGGTCCTGTCACTTGATCTAATACCCGGTTAAGGCAGTGGAGAACTTTCAGGGGGAAATTAACAGGAGATAACTAATAACTGACATCCATCGAACATGGCACGTGGAACTAGAACAGTCTACCCCAGTGAGCGAAATAAAGGGTTCATTTCGAAATTCCAACCACCTGAAGAAGGTCGGAGCGTACAACGGCCGAAACGTTGTGATAAATATGGCGACAAAGATGAGGACAATAGTCCAAATAATGTAAATAATCTCTCTGTTTCATTGATCAAAATGAAGAGAGTTAGGAAATAAGACAGAAGGATAGTTCAACGATATGAAAGTACATTTTTTTTAAACAAGTCCTTTTGCTTCAATGGTTAAAATGAAGAAAGAAAGGAAATAAGCAAATTTCAACCATCTGAAAACAACTTTTACTAAAACCCGTGGTCTGTTTTTAGCGTCTGAAGTGAAGACAGGAAGATGGAATATCAGAAGCGTTGTTGAAACCGCGCTCAAATCTGTTCTACAAGCGGCAGTTTGTTTAGTTGGTTAAAGTAAAGAAAAACAGGAAAGAATAGAGACGAATATTTGAACGATCTGAAAACGACTTTTACTAAAGCCAGTTGTTATTATTCAGTTGTTGAAGTAAATACAGGAAAATGGAATATCAAAGGCGTTGTTGAAACTACTCGCAGATTTTTTCTACAAGCGGCAGTTTTGTTTCGTTGGTTAAAGCGAACACAGAAAGGAAAAAAAGAGAGATGTACAGTTCAACGACCTGCAAACGACTTTTACTACAATCAGTCGTTCTGTTTCAGCGCGTGAAGTGAAAACAGGAAGATGGAATATCAGAGGTGTTACTGAAAATACACTCGGGTCTTTTCTACGACCGGCAGTTTTGTTTCATTGATTAAAGTGAAGAAAGAAAAGAAGAGAAACAAACAGTTCAACGATCTGAAAACGACTTTTACTATAACCTGTCGTTCTGTTTTAGTGGTTGAAGTATAGACAAGAACGAAGAGTATCAAAACTGTTTCTGAAACGCCACTATCTCCATTAACAGAAAAAATATAAATAGGAATATCGATCTTGTAAATTTTATTTATTATTATGGAAAATTGAGATAAGAACTGTATTCTAACAATGAACTTACAAATGATATTTTTATGAAAAAATATGGAAAGAAATAGTCATTATTAATACCAATATACTGACATCATAAATCCAGTTTATTTCTGCAGTAAACGGGAATTTATATTACAAAATAGATATATAACTCAACCTTCAAATAGTTTGGATTTGGGGATTGATACATTAACAAAATAAGCTTATTGTATCAAACAATATTTGTTTGTCTGGAGCACAATTGGTGAAGATTCCGAATTTCTGATATTGCGTGTAGGAAATATCATGAAGGCAGAGAAACCTGCTACATCAATAATGCCATTGGCAATGACATTTAATTCATCTCAAAGCAGTAGAAGCAATAGAAAACCATGATTAGGTTTGAAAATTAGTCTTCTGAGGTGGGATTTGAAAGGAAGACAATTTAATATAGTATTGAAAGAACTAATGTATTTTATAAAGAAATGGACGAGATTCTGCTAATCAAATATTGCTTTCGTCCTTTTCTTTTATTGTTTAAGTCTTCTATTTTTTTCTTTTTAAATTGTTTCTTCACATCAATTTCGGTTTCCTTCCTTCATTTTATTATTACGTAATTATTTTTTCCATTTATTATTTGTTGTTAGACACTTTTTATGTTTTTCCCTTCACGTTCTTCCCTTTGTCTTTATGGTTTTGTGCAATATGATTATTTATTTGATTCTAATTCTCTCTTTTTATTTCTCTCTAATTATCTCTTTCTAATTCTCGCTTTCTAATTGTCACTTTCTGTTTCTTTCTTTCATATATATTTCTAATAATCGCTTTTTAATTCTGTCTTTCTGTTTCTCTCTTTCTACTTCTCTATTTATATTTCTTTCTGTTTCTCTCCTCCCGATTCTCTCTTTCTGTTTCTCCCTTTTTAATTCTCTCTTCCTACTTCTCTCTTTCTGTTTCTCCCTTTTTAATTCTCTCTTCCCAATTCTCTCTTTCTGTTTCTCCCTTTTTAATTCTCTATTTCCAATTCTCTCTTTCTATTTCTCCCTTTTTAATTCTCTATTTCCAATTCTCTCTTTCTATTTTTCCCTTTTTAATTCTCTATTTCCAATTCTCTCTTTCTCCTACTCCCTTTTTAATTCTCTATTTCCAATTCTCTCTTTCTGTTTCTCCCTTTTTAATTCTCTCTTCCCAATTCTCTCTTTCTGCTTTTCCCTTTTTAATTCTATATTTTCAATTCTCTCTTTCTATTTCTCCATTTCTAATTCTCTCTTTCTGTTTCTCTCTTCTTAATTCTCTCTTTCTATTTCTCCCTTCTTAATTCTCTCTTTGTTTTTCTCTTTCTAATTCACTCATTCAATTTCTCTCTAGTTTTATTTCTGTTTTTCTTTCTTTCTAATTCTTCCTTTCTACTTCTCTATTTCTACTTCTCTTTTTTCTATTTCACCCTTTCTAATTCTTTCATTATAATTCTCTCTTTCAAACACAGTCTCTCTTTGTTAACTTTACATTACTTAACGCTTTCATTTTTTTCTATTATTTTCTTCTTCCTTCGTTTTCCCGTTTCTTTTTTCTTTTTTCTCTATTCTTTTTGTCTCTTTCTAATTGTATGTTTCTATTTCTCTCTTTCTAGTTCTCTCTTTCTAATTCTCCCTTTATATTTCTTTCTAAATTTCGCTTTCTCATTCTCGCTTTCAAATTCTCTTTAATTCTATCTTTCTAATTTTTTGCTTTTTATTTCTATCTTTCTATTTCTCTCCTAATTCTCCTTTTAAAATTATCTTTTTATACTTTCCTTTTTTTTATTTCTTCCTTTCTAATTCTCTCTTTCTAATACAGTTTCTCTTTGTTAACTTCACGCTTTCATTTTTTTCTATTATTTTCTTTTTTCTTCGTTTTTCTCTTTTCGTTTTTCTCTTTTCTCTTTTTCACTATTTTTTCTCGTTTCTTTTTTTAGTTCAATTTGCATACCTTTTCCATTTTAATATTACCCTCTTCCGAAAGATTCCATTTCTATTTCCTTACTCATTTGTTTTAGCTTCTCCTATCATCTCCTCTTTTAATCTCTGTTCCTTTAGCTCCAATTCTTTTTGTTTTTCGTTCATCCGACCTTCTTTGTGTTCTGTATTAATGCTTGCTGTAACAATTAACCGTAAAGTCTGTTATTTCCCGTTAACCGCTCCTCTAATTGCGTTAAATTCGACAATTGCATTACGGGAAGACCGCTTTCAGATACGAACATGAAATGAAACATCTGTTGAGATGAATATGAGAAACCTCATTGTTAACAGGAGTGACGAAATCGAGGAGCGTCCTAACCTAATTAGCAAAACACTATTTAATTTCATTAATTCTAATTCTAACAAATTACGTAAAATATGCGTTGTAAATGATATTCAAAATGTAATCGCCATTGGCTCTGCAAATTCGAATACATGCTCTTGCTTCTGAATAGAATCACAACAAGAAGAAAAAAACAAACAAACTGTTTAGCAAATAATATTTGTGGAATAAACTATACAGTCGCCAACAGCAAGTGTCTGATACAAAATAAAACACACCGGTTCAATTAATATATATATGTATATATCGTTAAAACAAATACGTTTTATTTCTTAATTACGCTTCCTTCTTTTTTATGGGCTATGTACATTCAGGATGCGAATGATAATGTCTCTCCCTACCATCCTATATCTTGTTTCGGTGCCGCTCTAGCGTTTGTCCTTCTGATCAGTTTCCGTTTTAGTGTAAATCCTACCACCAGATTTGTAACCTGTCTCCCCCTTTCTAATTAATTCATTGTAATTCTCTCTTTCTAACAAATTTTCTCGTTGTTAACTTCACATGACTTAACGCTTGCAGTTTTTTTCTCATTAAAAGTAAGAGAGAAATAAAAAGACAAAATTAGAAAGCGAGAATTAGAAAGAGATAATTAGAGAGGAATAGAAAGAGAGAATTAGAAAGAAAGAAATATAAACAGAGAATCAAAAGAGAGGAATAGACAGAATTAGAAAGTATCAGAAAGAGAGAATTTGAAAGGAAGTAATATAAACAGAAGTAGAATGAGTGAAATAGAAAGACAGAATTAGAAAGCTAGTATTAGAAAGATATTTAGAAAGAATGAAATATAAAGAGAGAATTAGAAAGAAATAATTAGAGAGAAATAGAAAGAGAGAATTAGAAAGAGGGAAGTGGAAAGAGCGAAATATAAAGAAGGTATTAGAATCAAATAAATAATCATATTGCACAAAACAATAAAAGATAAAATGAATGATATGAAGGGAAAAACATAAAACCATATCTAAAAAAAAATAATAAATGGATAAAAAAATAATTACGTAATAATGAAATGAAAGAAGGAAACCAAAACTGGTGCAAGGAGACAATTTTAAAAGAAAAAATTGAAGCCTAGAAAAATAAAAGAAAAGTTTGAAAGGCACTTCAGCGACTTTTCTCGATATGTTAAAAGACATTCAGAATGTTTTGTTTTTTTTATTTAAAGGATTCAAATATCTTGTTTTATTATTTTTTTTTGGTTAAATTTCTTACTTGATAATTTTTTTAAAATTTTATAATACAAAAATAAATAAATAAATAAATAATGGCATCCCTCCTTCCGTTTTTGCTTTTCCTCTTATATTTGAAAATGTAGGATACAAATATGGTGGTAGGATACACTGATCGGTGGGACACACACTAAAGTGGCTCCCATTTAAAAATAGATGACTTGATGTTTCCTCTTGCCTGAAATATGGTGATTTTCTGCCTGTAACCCCCACCTACATTCTAGTTGCATTATCACCTGGCTTGGGCAAAATGATTAACAAAAATAAACTAAAATACATAATTTCATATAGACACCGACATCCGGACGGACACAGGAATAGCGAAATATACCCAAAATTATGCAAAATAATATAAACAGGAAAATTTCGTTAGAAAAGAGTTTTAATTTCAAGAGTATGTAATATAGACTTCTCTCTCCTTGAATCCCATTGATCATTTGTCCTTTCCCGATTCTCCCTATTATCACTTTTCTCTTTCACTTTCATTTCCTCTAACTCCCTGCGTACTAGTAGCATTTCCAGAAGTCAGTCAGTTATGTGCCATGCGTGATACACGCTTAGGCGATCATGTATCTTTCGATACATGACTGATGAGGCAGATTTTTCCAGCAGTAGGTTGCCATTTTTTACTGCGGTAGACCAGTTGCCATCCAAGTTTATAGAACCTGGAGAGAGAAGTAGAGGATTCACACCTTTCCCAAAGGTATTAGCATGTAAGTGAATGTAACAGATTCAACTGGAATTCGAACTCGGCTATCCGATTTCTCAATCCGAACCGCTATCCATACGATTAAAAAAAATAGTTTCTTAATTTTAAATCGAGAACTTTTTAAATTCATCTTTTTGGGGAATTTTGTTAATTAACGATGGCCAATTAATCTATAGTTTTCTAGAACATCTTTCCTAATTAAATATTCAAGAATTTTATGTGAATTTAAGTTTCCTTTTAGTTCCAAAAATCTCCCGGTTGCTAACCTTATACCCCTGATAATTTTAACATCCTTCCGTAGAAGTATATATCTGTAGCATTATGTGTTTCCTTTAATAGGGAGGAGATTATCAACGCATTCTTAACATATAAGAGATTAAATCTTACATAGCAGGTCTGCAGATTTTTATATTTCTAAAGATATTTTCTTTGCTTAGTTTCTAGAAAGCTTCTTTGCCTGTACGTGTTTCAGATTTTTTGATTACTACTGATTCAAATTGCTCTATTACTATAAATCAAGCCCCTAGCTTGTTATTTTTGTGATAAAATAAAGTTTCGTTATTTTTTTTTAAGTTGTATTAGTGGAAATTAAGCGAACGGAGAAACGAACGTTTTAAAATAATAATTGCACTTGAAAATAAAATATTTACTGAATTTGCAGTCAATAGCTTAACAAAAAGAACAGCCAGATTAAACCAAACCTGATATATTGCTGCCATATCTGGGCTGGTTCTACCCAATCCTTATTTCCCATACTTGAGTTCAAAGACGCTTAGGTGGCGTTGATAGGGATAATTTATTTTTCAACTTGCATCCCCTTTCCCACAGATATAACGTCGCAAGCATGTCCCAACTCTGTTGCCAATTTTATGGGAAATGTTTTGCACGAGCTCGAATCATTAGTTCTAACAATTCAGAGCATTACAGCTAGAGACTGCCATGATGCGTTCACAGGAAAATTACCCACACCCCATCCGTATTCCAATGTTAAATAGGAAGAGTTGCAAGTCAGACTGTTTTTCTCAAGAACCACTGCTTTGGGGAACAGGTTCTTGCGTAGGTGTTTCTCCGAACATTACAAAATTAACCCCTTTAAGTCAAAGTTTATTCATCCCCCAGATCCATGTAACTCTCACTTACCATTTTTGCTCTTACAGTCATATAACACAAATCACTCTACCATCAGTGACTCTTGAAGCCTGGATGTTAATAAAAAAAAAGCAAAAAAAAACATGTTGATCATCATATACTCAAATATTTTTCATGTTTGCACAGATATACACTTACACCAACACTAAATGTAATTTGTCCTCTATATAGCATTCTGTTGAGTTCTTTTTTTACGTGCCGTGTCCCTTCAGGGCGTACGTGTTCATGGCCCGCCACACCTCCCTATCCCTTTGTAACGCATAATAAGCTTTGAGTTTTTCTTATTTCTCCCAAACCCTGTTCTATCATCCATTTACTCAAGCTGATCGAGTATGTTACCCGCTGTTTTCCTCTATCGCTCTTTCTTTCAATCTGTGAGTATTAGATTTTTCAAGCCCTTCCTCCTCATTACGTGCCACAGAAATTTCAACTGCCTCTTCCTGGTGTTAAGTATGTTTTCTCTTTGCTTGCATCTTCTTCAAATCCTTGTCGTTGCTCACGCATTCGTTCCAGGGTACCCTCAGCATCTTTCTGTAGAACCACATTTTTGTTGCTTCATGTTCCCCACTTCATCTTTTATGAGATTGTCCAGCATGCGCTGACATATAGGAAGACAGATATCGCGTAAAAGTTCAATACTCTTTTTTTTCACGTAATTTTTCTGTTAATTCTCTGCTTAGCTTTTGGAATGCATCTTTGGCTACCCCAATACGTATTTAGATTTCACTGTTGTATTATTCGTCCCTTATTAGAATAATTGTCAGATATTTAAATTTTTGTACTTATTTTATTTTAGTATCTGTGATTTGGAGGCACGGTGGAGTAATAAATAGCGGCACGGATTGAGGAATCGGAGAGCCGAGGTCGAATTCCAATCGAATCCATTATATTCATTTACGTGCTAATATTCTTGGGAAAGGTATGACTCCTCTTCTTCTTCCCCTCAGATATGGGTAAATATCAGGAAAGACCGGGTTCTATAACCTTGGATGGCAAATGGTCTACCGCAGAAAGAAATGTCAACCTACCGCGGGGAAAAAAACAATTTGCCTTGTCAGTCATGATCGCCTAAGCGTTTATTACGCAAGGCACATAACTAACTGATATATATATATATATATATATATATAACTGATTGATTCTCGTTTTGTGTTTAGTTTGTTCAAAATTTACCTAGTGCTCTTTTTTTATTTTTGACTTATTCTATTTTTAATACTCTAACAGAATCGTCAGCAAATCTAGCACAAAAATAAAAATAAAATTAAATTACTAAAATGATAAAGATAGGATGAAACAATAACGCCAAATTCCAAGAGACAAAATGAATCCTCTAAAGATTAGAGCAAAGTTATACAAAAAGAAACAATATCCCACATTTTAGTATCCGAGAATCAATGGGCTACAACGAGATAAAATTTGCCAAGATAAAGCGAAATAGCAAATGCAATTGAAAGAAAAGTAATTCTTTATACGGAAAGTAAGGACCTACCTATATAAAACTATCTTTAAGTGGCAGCAGAAAAATTATCGTCGAACTTTCGAATCTTGGTAACGTTTGCCTATATTTACTAACGATATGAGAATGCTCTTCGACAGATCATTAATATTACGTTTGTCAAAATGCTCGGTCGGTTTACAAGTAAATTTTCTACTTAATAAATAAAGCGAAAGAACTTTTTGGCCAACCCAACATAAAATAGAAAGTGTAGGTCAAACTAATCGCAGTTTCTTTATTTTAGTACTTACTATAATAAATATCTTTTTCATATTTTCTTATGAATATAAATATTTCGGGGAAGCATTGATCAATTGATCATTGA